TTAAAAGATGCCACTCCTTTACTCTGCCCACCAAACTAGACATCATCTTCATAGAATTATATCTTTGAACCTCAAAGTACGCTATTCTGCAGGAGCATAGCCTATTAGTCTTGGAGGAGACGCAGAGCGAGAAAGGGGTTTCTCATGGTTACCCAAGTAGAGAAAGAACCAGTATAGAGTCTACAACTCTTAACACCAATCTCATGTTCTTCCAATTACACTGTCAATTGCCCTTGTTAGTAACTGCTTTTCTTTTGTTTGTGAAGAATAATTATGGCTACTCCAGAAATGTTACCAGTTTTTTTCTTCATGGTGGAAGACTAATTTTAAAAAAATTATTAGTATGTAGCTGATATGTTTGTCTGAAGCCTTTGATTGTAGCCACAAATATCTGTGTACCTATTTTCATCTCTAATTTTAGACTAAAACCTGTGATGATAGGAACTGAATTTGAGGCACCCCACACTTTCCCACATTCTTCTTAAGTCCACACCTATGAGTAATCACTGGAAGGTATGGGCACCTTCCCTTTTCCTGGGAGCCAATTTTTCAGATGAATGAATTTTCACTCTGCCCCCAGGCCACATTTGCTGTGTTGTTGTAGATAAGAAAGATCCGTTTATCAGGAAATGTTGGTACACCTGAACTCCCCTTGCCTGTGCCGTTTTAGTATTGCTGTGTATAAGACAGCTGATAATTTAAACTTGATTATTCCCCATAACACGATATCCGATTAACTCACGGTCTTTTGTCTTTTACTCCCATTTCAGCAAATTGATGGAGAAGCATTTCTGCTTATGACGCAAACAGACATTGTCAAAATTATGAGCATTAAGCTGGGCCCTGCTCTCAAAATTTTCAATTCTATCCTGATGTTCAAAGCTGCAGAGAAGAACTCTCACAATGAACTTTGAAGATGGTGAATTTTGGATACCATCAGCTTTCTGCTTTAAAGCTCATGTTTTATTCAAAGCACAAGGACAGTTAACTCCTCAGTGAGAAGTCTCCAAAACTCAGAAGAGCAATGCGATCAGATTATTTATATTCCTCCAGAGACAATATATATGAATTCCTATGAAAGTGCTTGAGCTTTTAACCAGGTACTGTCTAACAACAGTCATCCTTTGGTTCTGTTCACTGAGCTAAATTTATCTTTGTAAATCTTTTTGAGGCTGGGGGGGTGGGGGGAAAGGGAGGGCTTCATTAATTATTTATGGACAATGGGGGGCAGAGTATGACTTTTTGGCATTTTATAAACATTGATGAATTCTCTTTCATGTACACTGTTTCTTTTTCAATACTTTCAGGAATCTTTTTATATAATCAAATTTCAACCTAAACCAAAATAGTGTCTAAACCTGGCTAAGTTTAGCCAGTGGGACGGTTGGTTATCTGTATTGTTAATTCTGTGCCATATTTTGAATTGCAACATTATGCTAAGTATAACTTTGCAAGTCATGATATTGCCTAACTGCTTGTCATCGTTTGTTGGGGCCGAATAGTTGTAAAAATCACTTTTCCTTAAATCTGTGTTTTTGCTTTTGCACGTATTATGAAATGTTAAACAAATTACGTTCACCAGCATCTTTACTATAATTACCAAAAATCATGTACATAAGTAATGGAATTGAAAAATAAAATATATCAGCATAAATAACTTAGGTGATGTAGTTGAATGGCATCCGTCTCACCATCGTGATGCCCTGTGTGCTGGGCTCTTGTAGAGTCCAATGTCATGGAATATGCAGTTACATGGGGGGAGGGGGGATTGTAAGGATCTGAAACTATTTATGAGATTATCTTGAGCTTCTCTCTAATTGTCCTTGAGGTGCTTTTCAGAGATCGATGAAGGGCTTGTTCTGTCCATAGAAACACTAATCCCTAAGCAGCTCTGTCCCAGATCTTGCCTTGTCCTCCAAACCTGAAGGTGTTCCTTGAGGGCTGGCTGTGGAGAGAGGTGACTGAGAAGGCAGGGTGTGAGGGAGCAACACCAGCAAAGATTCTAAATGCTCACAGAACAGGGAGGCGACTTCCCAAAGCAATCACTCGAGAACCTCCATTTCGGAGAGATTCCTTTCTCTGTGGAACAGTTCGCCTCACTATGTAAGCATACAGATGCACTTTAAATGAAAGCCCTTGATTACCTATACAATGATAGCTGGTAGTGTTTCTTTTGCAAGAATGCATTTCCAACAAAAAGGTAAATTATTTTATCAGCCTTTGGATGTAATTTCAGGATTGAACATTAATTCAAGGACTCTCTTAAAAGTAGGAAGTAGGTTTGCAGCATGCTGTCTGAATTCTGGGCAAGTTCCACCCCTCTTTAGTTGCTCTTGTTTTTTTCTGGTGTAGAACTTCCTTTCCTGTCTCCCCCACTTCCCCCCACCCCCACCCCTCCCCGTGGAGGTCTGTTAGCAGTCTTTTGCCTATGTCATCATTCCAGGTAAAAACAGGGTTATGATATCTAGTGTTCCTTTCTTTGCATGAATCTGCTTAAACAAGTTTTGCTCTGTTAGTTTTCATTTCCTTTTTTTATGTTTTGTTCAGAATTTGTACATTCAAATTGCACTTGTTATATCTGACATGAATGAAATAAAATCTTAATTGCAGATACCTCTGTACATATGTGTGATTTTTAAGAAAACTTGTCAATAGGAGGAGAGCATGAGAACAGGAACAACATCAACCTGGGACGGTATCACACGGGTACTCACTAGCTGTGTAAGGACTGCAGGATTCAGAATTGTTTGTCAAACTATGTCCCAGCCGATGTGAAGAGCAACAAAAAATTCAAAACTGAAATACATACATAGCCCATGAACACAGACAATAGTGTGAGGAAAGCCTGGGGTGGGGCAGGGGCTGAGTGGAAGGGGCAAAGGAGAGGGAAATATGGGACATCTGTAGTAATGCCAATAATAAAAAAAATTCTATTGTTATGTCAAGTAGGATTCACACCCATTGGGGATTTTTCTTTTCTGGCTTAAAGTCTATATAACAAAAAAAGACTTTTAAATCTTACTGGATTCTAAGCAGCATGTTATGTTAGAGGCAAGGCGTGGAGCATTCTTAGAGTGGAGCAGTGTCCCTCAAGAAGGGGGAAACCCATTCCTTCCTGGGGATACAGTCTCAGTCTTCACGGAGGAAGTCGGGGTCATGATGGCAGAGAAGAGCCTGGAAGGGGAGAAGCAGGCTAGGGTTAAGACACAAGGGAGGGATGGGGAATGTGCAATTGGATGGGACCTTTTCCACCTAAAGGCATTTTCAAACATTTCAGGGAACATTGTGCAAGCCCAGAGAGACCTGTCTGTAGACTGAAATACAGCCCCTGGCTGCCATTTTGCAACTTTTTGATTCTGGAGAGTCAGCCTCGAAACAAAGCAGGGTTCGGTTAGTCCAGCAACATTGGAAATTTACCAAGGGGCCAGGCCGTGCTAGGCACTGGAGATAGGAGCACCACTGAAAGAGATAATAAAGCTTAAGTGAATCTGCCCTTAGGGTCAGCTCACATCTTTGGAGCCAAACTTTGCCGCTGTTCCCCATAGACCCACCGCCATCCCTTCGCCCAGCCTAAAGGAATAAAGAGGCTTTCCTTCAACTTCAGCCATAGACATTGCAGGCCTCCAAAGGGAAGGAAGCTTTAAGAACTTGAGAAATAAAACTGATTGTGAAATTTAAAAAGTGTGTGTGTGTGGTGGGGGGGAGGGGGGCGCTAATGGGGAAAATAAAGGAAAGTTCGTAAGGAACAAAGGCATATTCTAGTGAAAGGGAAGAAATGGAAACTGGAATAGGAGGTGGTTTATGGGAAAGTGACAGGTGCCAAGTTGCTATGTACTCTTCCTGTTGATTCCTGTGCAAGTCGTTGGTACGTGGTCATTGTAGAGTGGGCAGCTTCTCTTTCATCGTCTTATCTCACTGGCTTAGCATTTTAATGAACATCAGGAGAAACGTCTCCAAGCAATGGTCAGACCAAGGAGGCAGCCCACAGCCCCCAAATGTGCAACTCCTGGGCATTAGACTTTCAAAGGTGGGCACATCGAGTTAAGAACAAGGTCATACCCTAAACCAAAGACTTAGCAAATATGAAGTGTGCCTTTTAAAAACAAATGCACCCATGAAAGTGTAACTTGGACCATGGTATTTCTCAAATCAAATTTAAATAAATAAACAGGCCCTAGCTGGTTTGGCTCAATGGATAGAGCGTCGGCCTGCGGACTGAAGGGTCCCAGGTTCGATTTTGGCCAAGGGCACATGCCTGGGTTGCGGTCTTGATCCCCAGTAGGGGGCGTGCAGGAGGCAGCCAATCAATGATTCTCTCTTACCATTGATGTTTCTATCTCTCCCTCTCCTTTCCTCTCTAAAATCAATAAAATATATTTAAAAATAAATAAATAAACAGCTCTTTAAGTATTATTTTATTACAGAATTTCAGAAAATTTAAGTATTTAAGATTAAAGACAGAAAGCATTGAGCCCTGGCTGAGTGGCTCAGTTGGTTGGAGTATCATCCTGTATAGCAAAAGGTTGCAGGTTCGATCCCCAGTCAGAGGCAACCAATTGATGTTTCTCTCTCATATTGATATCTCTCTCTCTCCCTCCCTCTCTCTAAAAATCAATAAAAATGTGTCCTCTGGTAAGGATTTAAAAAATGCATTGAAATTCATTTACATCTTTGAGACAAAATGATTTCCTAATTATCTACCACAACTCTAACTTAAACAATTTTTTGTAAAGTCTCGGCCATCCCAGAGATCAATTCTAATACAGTGGGGCCTTGACTTACGAGTTTAATTCGTTCCGTGACAGAGCTCGTAACTCAAATTACTTGTATGTCAAATCAAAAAGTGAACGAGTGAGACACGTGATGCTGGGCTGATGTGGCATTCACTGTGATGTTCGCTGTGCCAACTAGGTGGGGTATCTGAAGCTGGCTCGTAACCCGAATTTTAGCTCGCAACTCAAAGCAAAAAATCGGCCGAGAGACGGCTCATATCTCGAAAAACTCGTTAGTCTGGACACTCGTAAGTCAAGGCCCCACTGTACAATATTTAGCATGCTATTAAGTGACCGGGTGTTGAAACCCTACTTCCTTTTCCTTTTCTTTCATAGAAGGAACGTAGGGACTGTGCATATCAAAAATCTGTGTCTCCAGGAAGTTGAGCGTTTGGGACAGTCGACTCGGACACTGGATCCCAAATACATGAAAGGCAGCTACTAGAGCAGCCAGGGCCGTAACACAGTCGTCCACTTTTGTGAGTCTTTCTTTTTCTAAATACAGAGAAAATTCACAGACATCAATGTTGAAAGGGTTTTTAACTTCTAAAACGGGAGTGGACACTTGCACCTGAAAAAAAAAAAAAAAGGACGTGTAAAATAGCTAAATAATACAAGGTGTCTGGATTTATTATAATAAATGAGCTTGTTGCAAATTGGCATATTTGTAAAAGTGATACAACATACTTCCAATAGACCACCATCCTGCTTTCAAATGTGAAGATGTGAAATGTCAAACCAGCGATCACTGATATAGTACATACCTTCTCATTCACGATGACAAAAAGGCTGGGATCATCCCCAAACACATCTGGGAGGAGTAAACATGTGGCTGTCATCTTCATATCTGTCAAAGCAAACATGCTTACAGTCCAAGTAAAATGAGCTTTTCCTAACTGTTGTAGCAAAGCCAGTATAAAGCACCTGGATTTTTTAAAAAATCGTTACGTCTACAGAGAACAAACAAGCCTCCTTAGATTGGTGTTTCACAACCATTTTTAACCAACATGCCCATCTAATAAACATTCAAGATCTCATGTTCTGTCCCCCAGATCTCTGTCCTTTTATCAAGCTCTACCTTGTGATCTAGATTATGAAATTAACAGATTACTGGTTCCCTAAATATACTTTATAGGATCAAGTGTCCTTTTTGTATTTATACCCCAACACCTCCTATTTGAGAAATTTTTTTTTCTCTCCCATATGTTGTTTCACTAAATTTTACTCATCATGAAAACAGAACTTTTCCAACCATCCTGAATTATACAGATGACTAAGACCAGATAGCCCCACTCCCAGGCTTACTAACATTTCAACATGTCCTCATCTGTGTGCTGTTTCATTTTTTCTTGCAGCGCAATGTTGATTGGATTGTCCACCACTGAAAAAGAAGTCAGTATATTGTCTGAATAGGATTCCAAAACGTGCCTTGTTTTCTTATAAATATCTGTTCTTGTAAGAAGTTGAAATTCTTTGAACATCTGAAAGAAGAAAATGATATCAGATCACTAGAAAAGCTAATGAAAGGGAAGTAAGTAACACTTGAGGATTATTTTAAACTTTGGATGTAGTTTAAAGTATATACCAGATATTTGAGTAGCTTTAGTAGAGAAGTAAAGATTTAGGACAGAGAAGGAGGAAAGAATGAAAGTCTGAAGTGAGCAGGAAAAGATAAGTAATGGACATGGCAAACTCCGACCCGTAGAATTAAAACTTTGGATGCAGACCCAATTAAATGGGCATATATGCATATTTTAGCTATTGAGGTTACCTAAGATTAAGATTCTAGGATCTTACGTTTCTTTAGGTAAAAACTACATTGTTAGGTTTTGGCAGTGTCCAACCAGAGGCAAAAAGAAGAAAACTTAGATTTTAAGAGGCAAACCTTGAAAAATACCAAAACTTAGTGTTGTAAGGGATCCTAGAGAAAGAGGAGAGCTTTAGAGACTATAAGATCAGCTAGAAATAAACTGTGACAAGATATTTGAGTACAAGATGAAAGCAAAACCAGTTTATCTTTACGGAATCCCCTGTTCTTAAAGCCACTGGCTAAGCACTTCCCCTCAGAGACTTCCACCATCACTGCCCCCCTCCCCACTTCCTGTTGACAGGGAACTAAATCTGAAGACAGCCAGTGCATGTCATTAGAAATAGGTCCCAGAAATTCTCACCAAATGGTCTTAGTTGTAGCCAAGGGGGCCTCACACACCCTATTGAGATTCACACTTGCTGCCTAGTCCTGTTTCCACTCCAAGAGGAAAGAGACAAATCAATTTGGACACTACAATCAGAGAGTATTATAAGCGAATAAAGGTACCTGATAAGGGCACTTCAGGAAAGGAAACATTCTAAGGATGTCCTTCAGAGGCGTTCTGCTGCCAATCAACTTCCTTCTTATTTGCAAAGTCTGGCTCATCCTCTTATCGATTTCCCTCCAGTTCTTGACTGTTTTCACATATTCTTGCTGGAACCAGCTAATATGTTCATCTACTTCAGAATCTAAACAAATAGCTTCTTCCTGAAAAATATTTTCAAAATATCAATATGTTGCATATTTAACATTTCAATTTTACCCTTCATGAAATTTGAATTATAGGCTGCATTGCAATCATTTTATATTTTATATAATATAAATCATATTATAATAATGCACTCAAAAGATGCGTATCATCATGTGTAATTACACTTGGCATCGAACATGGTTAGCAAATGGACAGTCTAACTGTGAACAGATCAGGTAGCTAATTACTGTGGAATTATCTGTTCTCTTGACAGAGGTATGAGTAACTTCATTTCCTACATACCCTTTTACATGGAAGTCTAGATTGTCCAGAAGGTTCACACTTAACAGGAATGCTTATTTCTACTCATTCAATTTCAGAAGATAAAATATTAAGAGATTAAAAGTTCTTAAATTAAAGTTTGTTATTGTTTGCATTTTTTTCTTTTTAAATGCCTTTTTATAGTTGCAGGACCATGTCATATAATCCAAATTCAAAATAATCACAGTAGGTACTCTGTGTTGCTAAATCATTACACTGTCAGTTATATTTACTGTACACTTGGGTACACTGGCTGGGGTGGGGTGGGATGGCTAAGAAAGATTCAACATATTCTCATTAAAAATCGAAGACAGCCCTAGCTGATTTGGCTCAATGGATAGAGCATCGACCTATAGACTGAAGGGTCCCAGGTTTGATTCTGGCTAAGGGCACATGCCTGGGTTGCCGGCTCGATCCCCAGTAGGGGGCGTGCAGGAGGCAGCTAATCAATGATTCTCTCTCATCATTGATGTTTCTATCTCTCTCTCCCCCCTCTCCCTTCTCTGAAATCAATAAAATATATTTTAAATAAATAAATAAATATCGAAGACGATCAGCTTTAGGAGAAAAGAAAAGAAAAAAATCCTTCTGGGAAAATTAGTTGAGAGGACACTCAGGTGAAACTACACTTGAATTAGTGTCTTGACAAACTGTCTACCTGACCAGAATGGGAACAGATGTTGCCTGTAAAAGATGAAAATGATGCTAAGGAGTCTAAAATGCTCATACATCAAGGCTTTTACAAGCCAATTAGGACAGCTTCAGGTAAGCCCACTCTCTGTGAGCATAGGATGACTAACAAAGCATAGAGCAAGTGTACAAATTCCTAGGAAAATATAACTTAAAAGATTAAAATGAAAATATAACTTAAAAGATTAAAAAGAAGAGACTTGACTGGGGATGGTGAGCAATGATCACTTTATAATCTCTTTTTGCCCCAGTTGACAGGAAGATCAAAACTAAATGCAGTTGCAACTTAATTCATCTTGGGCCTTAATGCATTCAATTCCCTGTGTCTTTTGTTGCAAAGCCCACTGCATGAGCCTTAGCAGGATTCATTTCAGAACTCAGGCATGTCTGGGGGGACTAGACAGAGAGATGGGAGGGACAGGCCATAGTTTATGAAGAACTAAAGTGGTTCTGAGAAGAAACACAATGGTAAGTATACAAATGGGTTCAATGATGATACGTCAACAAAAGAGAAACTGCTATTTAGCTTTGTGTCCCTGGGGTTGATCTCTGACCCCGTGGACTTACCCTTGAGTTCTAGTGCTAATTTTCAAATATTACTATTCATCCATTCCAATGAATTTTAGTGGGAAATGCATCATAGGAAAAGAAGGAAGATTGAATATGTAAAATGTTAATTTATAAGGGAAATCTGATTTTAGTATACTGTAAACCAAATTTTTTGAGAAAACCAATTTAGGCATAATTATGTTCCTTTATAGAGTGACTTTTAATTTTAAGAATATAAAGAAAAAAAATATATATGTATATATATTTCCTCACCTGAGGACATATTCATTGACTTTTAGAGAGAAAGAAAGAGAGAGAAACATCAATGTGAGAGACAAACATTGATGGGATCAAACCTGCAATCTAGGTATGTGCCCTGGTCGAGAATCAAACTTGTGTATACAGGGGTGGGCAAACTTTTTGACTCGAGGGCCACAATGGGTTCTTAAACTGGACCGGAGGGCCGGAACAAAAGCATGGATGGAGTGTTTGTGTGAACTAATATAAATTCAAAGTAAACATCATTAAAAAAAAGGGTAAAAAAAGGGCCAGATCCGGCCCTCGGGCCGGAGTTTGCCCATGGCTGGTATAGGATGATGCTCCAACCAACTGAGCCACATAAAAGATATTTTTAAATAAATGTAATTCTATCTTATTAAGATTTTAGTTTATATTGGAATATTGCAGTCAACATTTTTAAAAAGTTACACCACTAAATTTAGTTACCTTTCATCTGCCTTTGTCTTTTCATCAAACAGCAGACATAGAATTATATTTTCTTAACTAATGATTTGAAAATCTCACTGAAAATTATAGTAAAATATTTTAAATATACATATACCTTCATCTAAAATTGTCCTTTATGTAGATACTGAAATGGATGGTTTACAAAATATTGCTTTAAAATATTACTATGTCCTCAAGCTTATAAATGTGTTAATAAAAATTGAGATGACCCAATGTAGAGAGCACCTGGGAAGGCACATGAGCATTTCTTTAATTATTGTCAGCTGAATCCAGTGGCGTTGGCAGAGCCACGTCCTGGAAACACACCTTGCCAGAGGCAGGAGTGTTGTCAGTCTGACCTTCAGCTCAGGCGCCCGGGGCAGGGGGGGGGGTTCATTATCTAAATCCAGCCAAGCACCAGGAACAAACATGATTATCCAGGCCCACCCAGAAGTGATGGTTACAAAGAAGCCACAAGAATGCACATAATCTCCTTTGTCTTGGGCTTTAGTAAGACTTCCTGGTATTTTGCTGTATAAAATAAACACGCTGTATCAGCTCTGGGTCCCTGTCTCTCCATCAGAGGACCGTGGTCCCACCCGGCCCCAGCTTTTTCCTTCCATCTCTGTGTCTGTCTCTTTCTTTCATTTTCTCAATCCCCAGCAGCCCTTACTCAGGAACCGGACCGCTCTCTAGCCGGGCTGGACTCAGAAAAGAGAGAAATATTTACAACCCAATATGTTGCTCTATTAATAGCAAGTAAATATACCAGCTGAAGAAGAAAATAGAATACTTACAATAAGTACATTTACTAACATAAATGTGTTTGTGGTGAAATGTTAGGATTTACCTATTCAGGTTGGATTGGGTTAGAAATAGAATTGAGGGAGCATGAGATTTAGCTTCCATAGTTGGTAGTTTGGACATCTTCCCTAAGGAGTTCAATCTACTTTATTAGCAGGGGACATTTTTGTTTCTGAGGATATCTGGGTGCTGTGAGATAGTTAAAGAATATTGGCTTTTAGATAACTAGGACCCACGTGGACATTACGTATAGCAAACCTGCTGCTGAGGGAGGGATCTCCAGGCCCTTGCTGGGTCCTCAGCCTGACAATCCTCACAGTCACCTGGGTGGTGTGGGATCCCTTCTGGACAAAGTTATAGAGTTTTGTATCCATGCATGTGGATTACCTTCCTCCTGACACCTTGAAACTACAGGTACCTAACCCTACAACACGAGTATTAAAATCTTTCTGTATCAATAAGAACAGCAAGAGCACAAGATGCATTTTAAGATGACAGGAAGATATTCAAGGATCCAGAATGTTAGTGATTTTCTAGTTTTTTTGAAGGTTGGAAAAGAATAAACATGAGATATTCAATAACAAACTCTGCTCAAACTGGGTTCGGAAGATCTTTTTTGGAACCATTGTCATCACATTATTTGCTATGCAAAACACAGATTTTATTGCTTTCTGACCACACCAAAAGGACATCTTATTTTGTTTTAATGATTTCAAATGTTACTGGACAGATTTTATTGCTTTCTGACCACACCAAAAGACATCTTATTTTGTTTTAATGATTTCAAATGTTACTGCTTATTATCCCCAAATCAATCAACCAATCAATGAGTTGTCAGAACATTTCAAGATTCAGTCTTACTTTTATTTGGGCAATTTTCATTTCATCAAATCTGATATCTGCAAGAGATTTCCTTCTCTGGCCTCTTCGATGTCCAAATTTACACTTATTTCTCATCACTTGTTCATCATCTTCTATGGGTCTTCTCACATATTTAAAGCGATCTTTCAGGGCTCGTTTCCATAAAAACTGTGTAAAATAACAAAACAGGAGATTTAAATAATACCACATAAACAATAAAACTTTTTATTTAGCTAACACCTTTGGGCTTCAAATCTTTTCACATCACAGTAATAGAAACATTAACTCTATCCTTCCATTTACCCACACAACAATCTTATGATATTGCTGTAAAAATTATAGTCCCTAAACTAAAAATATTTTTCCAATGACATATAGCTATTGAGTAAATATACTCGCTATTGATTTTAGATTCTTTAATTCCTAAAATTGTATAATTTTCACCTTATTCTTCTGTCTTCATAAAGTTCTCCACTTTTAAAAAAATATATTTTTTCAATTACAGTTTACATTCAATATTACTTTGTATTAGTTTCAGGGGCACAACATAGTAGTTAGACAATCATACACTAATAACAAATGTACCACTCTAATGGGGGATATTGAAAATGGGGGAGGATATGCATGTGTCGGGGCAATGGGTACACGGAGGGAAATAATTGCACCATCCTCTCAATTTTGCTGTGAACTAAAAAAATAAAGTCTTTTTTTAAAAAGATAAAGGAGCAGAGAGAGAGAGAGAGAGAGAGAGAGAGAGAAAGTATCAAAAAGAGGAAAGAGAGGGAGGGAGAGAGCACGAAACTGATTAAAGGAGGATGAGACATAAAATTACTAAACAATGCAAGGCAATTATTTTATTTTATTTTTTTATTGATTTCAGAGAGGAAGGGAGAGGGAGAGAGAGATAGAAGCATCAGTGATGAGAGCCAATCATTGATCAGCTGCCTCCTGCAGGCCCCCTACCGGGGATGGAGCCTGCAACTCGGGCTTGTGCTCTTGTCGGGACTCGAAGTAGGATTCTTCAGTCTGCAGGCCCATACTCAATCCACTGAGCCAAACCAGCTAGGGCAAGGCTATTATTTTTAAAGGGCAGAGATTATAAAACGGTCACTTACAAAGCCACAGCCGTCCTCGTCCAGGAAAGGGTGGGCCTGCAGCAGGGCGTTGACCACATCGTTATACTGCTGGGTGCTGGGATACCTGTTCAGTGCAACAGGACATGTTTCATTCCAAGCTGCCCAATCCCTTCCTTTACAATGAGTCTAAATTACACTCCCTTTTCTTCAAATCTTTTCATATAACAACGGAGACATTCAAATATTGGGCAATGTTGGATTTATGACTGATATGTCATCCAAAACCTGAAAAGGGTTGGTTCCTAATAAATGCTAGTTTACTCTGACAGTAGATCCTCCCCCAGAGCAACCAGCCTGCCCTGTAATTACTCACAGTGAGCCTTTCAGATACTTGGTCATGTCGGCCTGGAGAAACTCAATGATCCTTATCCTCATGCTGTGGTCGGGACACTTCTGCTCTGCTAACAGGCATCTGACGTCATAGGGAAACTCCGGTAAAACATAGGACTTTGTCCACTGCAAGGCTTTATTCCTTGCTAGAACATGTTTCACATTTCTTCTGTTAAATAGAAACACAAGGAGTGAAATCTCATTTCAAATATACCTAAATTATTCATTTTCTACATCCTGAGAACTTCTGATATAAAGCACTTTCCTGAGACCTGAATATATGGACGTCATCAATCCGTCTTCCATCCATTCAGCTACCCACAAGTGTTTGAAGGCTCATTAGGTATCTCCGTTTTCCTTCCCTTTGCACACTTGTAAGTTCGGGAGGGGGGGAGTCATAATAATATAGACTTTGAATAAATCCTGAAGTTGGGAAGAATATTATTCCATCTATCTTGAAGAAACAATATGTAGCACATAGCTCAAAACTGAATAAACAAAAAGAGTAAGTTGCAATTCAGCAGTAAGGCATAAATAAGTCTTAACAGCTAAGAAAATTCCTCTAATTAATTTATCCTGCTGCTGTTTATAGCGAAATATAAGATCAACTTAATTTAGTTGGTCTTGGCTATTTTAAAGGTAAACTTAATTTCTAAGTAAAAAAACAAGTATGAGAACCTGGCCAGTGTTGCTCAGTAGTCATCAATCCGTCTTCCATCCATTCAGCTCCCCACAAGTGTTTGAAGGCTCATTAGGTATCTCCATTTCCCTTCCCTTTGCACACTTGTAAGTTCGGGAGGGGGGGAGTCATAATAATATAGACTTTGAATAAATCCTGAAGTTGGGAAGAATATTATTCCATCTATCTTGAAGAAACAATATGTAGCACATAGCTCAAAACTGAATAAACAAAAAGAGTAAGTTGCAATTCAGCAGTAAGGCATAAATAAGTCTTAACAGCTAAGAAAATTCCTCTAATTAATTTATCCTGCTGCTGTTTATAGCGAAATATAAGATCAACTTAATTTAGTTGGTCTTGGCTATTTTAAAGGTAAACTTAATTTCTAAGTAAAAAAACAAGTATGAGAACCTGGCCAGTGTTGCTCAGTGGTTGAGCATCACCCTATGAACCAGGTGGTCATGGTTCAATTCCCGGTCAGGGCACATGCCCGGGTTGTAGGCTCAGTCTCCCATGGGGGGCGTGCAGGAAGCAGCCGATCAATGACTCTCTCTCATCATTGATGTTTCTATCTCTCCCTCCTCCTCCCTTCCTCTCTGAAATCAATGAAAATATATATATTTTAAAAGTATCAGATACTCTGATTTAATTCAGATGAAAGTTTCTACCAAACATTACAGAAAACTATACCTACAGAAGGCAGATCAGCAGTTGCTTGGGGCTGGGGGTTGGGAGAGAAGATAGGCTGCAAAAGGGAACGAGGGAATTTTTTAGGGTAATGGAAATGTTCCAAAATGGATTGTGACCAGGGATGCACAACCAGATAGATCTGCTAAAATTAACTGAGCTGTACACTTTAAATGGGTGAATTTTATGTTATATAAATTACACCTCAATAAGGCTATTTATAAAATTAAGTATCAGAACCACTTTAAAACTTTAAAGTTAGTGACTGATCATTAAGTGTGTAAAAGAAGACTATAGTAAAATTTCCAAGTAACAGGTACCCAGAGGCACTAAGTAGCTTTCAATCCACTTCACTCATAAGATTGATTGGCATGAAAAGAAAGGAATAAAGGCAAAGTAGAAGTCAAAAAACAGAAAGAGTTCCCAAATTAGCCTGAGTAGGTTAATTTTCTGGCACTGCTATGGAGTCCTTACTAGTCCTAGGAAAATTGACTAGGTGAGATGAGAGTTGAAAGGTCAGGTTCCTTCCAGTGGTTCTCAACCTTCCTAATGCCATGACCCTTTAATACAGTTCCTCATGTTGTGGTGACCCCCAACCATAAAATTATTTTCGTGGCTACTTCATAACTGTAATTTTGCTACTGTTATGAATCGTAATATAAATATCTGATATGCTATATGTGTTTTCCGATGGTCACAACCCACAGGTTGAGAAACGCTGCTTTAGAATGTTAGGTCATATTTCCTAAGAATGCATGAGATACAATGAAACATGGGGAATAGAGAAAAGAGGAGAAAGCACTTTCCTCTCTTTTTATGATATGCTCCCTCCTTTTTTTCCTCGTTGGCAGTCAGTATACCAGTGGTGAAAACATGTCCTCGCTACAATAAGCACACCAACAATTTAACACCAGATTCAATACAGCAACAGGTCATTTCCAGGGTCAATCTGTGCTTCAACCCAAACTACTTCCCAGTATGTCACTCTCTCATTTCATTCATCCAATCAGTACTTATTGCAGCTGACTATATCGCAATTACTCTCCCACAATCCCTATTTCCATTCTCATTAACACTGATACTGTTTGTTTAGGTCCCCAGGTGAATCTAATGCTATAGTCAGTGTTTCCCTGCTCGCTGGCAGAGTATAGAGCCTCCTCAGCCTCTAACAGCATCTCTCACCATTCCAGCCACTCTGTTTTCTCTGCTGAGATCTCTCACTTCCCAAAAGTACTTACTCCAAGCAGGATCCCCTGTGCTTTTTCAGGTGTTTGTACATTTGCATTTGCTGTTCCTTTGCTGTGAATGGCATTCTCTCCTGCCCCATTTTCCTTCAATGAATTTCTAATCACCTTTCAAAATCCTCCCTCAGTTTTTGTGAAGCTTCTCCCCAGAGACCTTCTCCACACTCACTTTCCCGAAAGCCCTATTTCTCCCTCTTCTGTGCTATTTCTGTGCCCGTGAGTTTCTATTTCTGCATATTTGCTTAATATTGCCATTACTAGCTTACTAGTACACACCTGTCTTATCTACAGACTCTGAGTTCCCCCAGGCAAGGACTAAATTGCATCCCCTGCCTGCCCCTGTCTAAATAATACCTAGCTCATGGTGTATATTCAGTAACTTTTAGACTGAACAAAATGGGAAAAATAGATTAGAAATCAAGCTCACTTTGGATCTCTCTAAAGACTTCATATGATAATTACTAGAAATGGACAAGAGTCAGAGAGTTATTTATCAGTAATGCCAGCCCAATTTCCAGGACTCTACAAGTCCTGCTTGCCTGGGTCCAAAGATATCCTCCACTGAACAAAATAACAATTCTGTCTTAGGAAGCCAATATTCCTCACTCAAACATCATCTAGTCAAAGTCGAAGGGAATATATTTAATTCAATTAAGATGAGACCACAGAAATACTTCTTATTTCTGTTCTTTCATGTGGTAAAAGTTTGTTGATCACCTACTCTGTGCCAGGCATTGCAAAGGTGAAGCAGACTGGTTCCTCACCACCACAGCCTCTTCCCCTCCCTCCCAGTGCTGGACCTCTGGGGGACATAAATGTGTAGGAAGTAAAAAGAGGAATCCCACATCTGACCGGAATGGGTACTGATGGAATTGTAACTGGGCTGGTGCATTCCATCGAATCTTCTCTTTATTTTGTGCTGGATAAGATGCTCACATGACTGCGGTGCCTCATCTGAGCTGTGTGTGGGATAGTGCCTACATACAATCCATCACGTGTTGACCCATTGACATTTGCCTTACTGAGTATAGGCATGTGGGTGAGGTCATTCTCCTACATTCTGTAGCAGTAACCAGACCCCTCCCCAATAAATCCTCATTAAAACAATTTTTAAATATGCATGAAACCATGACTAATTTTATAATTATGCCCAAAGGCAGAAGCAAAACACCTGCACACATTTAAAGTTCCAGTGAAGTGTTTTTTAAAGTAACATTTAGGAAATATCTACCTATTTATCTGATTTCATGGTTTATTTGGTACTAAAGGGGAAGTGAAAAGTTTTAAATAGTGTAGATGGAAAACAAAAATATCACTAAAAAAAAATCTTTTCCCTACGGATCATCAATACATGCTGAGTATGAGACATTGCAATTCTTCCATCAAGAAAGGGCACTTTAGCTCGGCTGGCATGGCTCAGTGATTGAGCGTTGACCTATGAACCAGATGGTCATGGTTCAATTCTAGGTCAGAGCACATGTCTGGCTTGCAGGCTCGGTCCCCAGTAGGGTGCATTCAGGAGGCAGCCAATCGATGATTCTTCTCATCATTGATGGTTTGATCTCTCTCTCTCCCTCTCTAAAATCAATAAAAATATAGGAAGGAAGGAAGGAAGGAAGGAAAGGAGAAAGGAAGGGCTCTTAAGCAATGCAGTAAAAAGCACAATATCACCTATCACTGAAAAAAATTGCATTGTGTCTCAGTACCCTAGGATTTCATCCATGGGGACACACACGCCTCTACTAGAGGTTATTCAAGAGCCAAAGTCAGGTGAACATTGTGCCTCTAGAACAGTGATGGCGAACCTATGACACGCGTGTCAGAGGCGACACGCGAACTCATTTTTTTGGTTGATTTTTCTTTGTTAAATGGCATTTAAATATATAAAATAAATATCAAAAATATAAA